TGAACGAGAAGCTACAATCCTCAGCCCTTGACTCCCATGGTGCCATCACTTCTGTTAGGCACACAGCAAAGAACACCAGTCTCATTCATTCACTATTTCCCGTGGCTATCGTGGAAAAAGCGAGGTGGAAATAAACTGGGAGCTGGTGCATGGACTGCCCAGGCCACCAGGTCTGCACTGACTTAGCCCAGTCCCTCCCAGAAGCCTCTCACTTCTCAGTGCTTATTAGGCTGGCCCTTTGTTTGGAAATAAACAAGGAACATGCAACTTCAAGCTCAGAAGATAATTGACATCAAGTTGGTATTTACTCATTGTACCTGCATCCCAGACTCTGTTTCAGGGACTTCCAGGAAGTCATGCACATTATTCATTACAGGCTGGGACGGACTGGGGAAACGAGCACTGCCCCAGCTCTGTTTACTGATGCGAAGAAGCCCTCAGACGGGAGAGGAGTTCTGAGGACCAATGCGGCGAGTGAGGACACATGGGTGTTCTGAGTATCAGAAAGGTTGTGGACCAGAAAGAGCAGTCAGTGGACAGAGGTCAGAGTGGCTCCTGGGCTCTGAAGCAGGGCCAAGGACCCCGAGGGTTAGCAAGTGGCATGACAGCAGGACAGGCAGCCTTGGGCGCATGTAAATCGCCAGCACTGGTTTTTTTTTTTGAGTTGGAGTCTCACTCGGTCGCCCAGACTGGAGTACAGTGGCCGCTCCAGGCCACCACAGCCTCGACCTGCTGGGCTCCGGTGATCCCTCCGCCTCAGCCTTCTGAGTAGCCGGAATTACGGGCACGCACTACCACACCAGGCTGATTTTTTGTAGAGATGAGGTCTCGCTGCCCAGGCAGGTCTTGAACCCGCGGGCTCAGGCAATCCACTCACCTCAGCCTCCCAAAGGCGCGGGATTACAGGCTGAGCCACCAAGCCCGGCTATGGAAATGGTTCTTAACTAGCATCACAGAGGACAGAGAGCAAATAACAGCCAGACTCACCCTACACGCTGTGCTCTGTTCAAATGCTTACGGGCAGTTAAGCACGTCACATCACTCGTAGAGATGCTCTCCCCACCACCATGTGGTCTCTCCTTGCCCACCTATCCCTCCCCATGGGAGACCTCACTCAAATGTCACTTCATCTGCAAAGCTTCTCCCACCTTTTAGGGCAAGAGGTTCACCTCACCACTGTGTTTCCCCAACATTCATGCGCCAAGTCCAGCCCGTCGCCCCTTCAAAATATTCTTGAGTTTTCCTTCTCCTCTCTGGTCTGCACAGATCCTGCCTGATTTCAGGACCCCGTGTTCTGTCTCCTGGATGACCGCTTGTAGTTTTGCCTACAGATGTGTCCTCTATACACCTGTGAGTGGACAGCCCCTGGCAGACCAGGAGGCATGTGGGGCAGAAGGAGCTGGGAGTTAAAGGGTAGGGTGGAGGGTACCGAGGTCAAGAGGTGGAAGGGAGGGGGACCTGAGCCAGAGGGGGGGTCTTGGCAGGCTGACCCTGTGTGAGGTGCCAGGGAGGGGCAGTCCATGTGGACTGGGAACGAGGCCCACAGAGCGGCCTCAGCACTGGGATGTGGACACGTGGGTTTTCATACAGACACTGAAAGAAGTAGACAGAGGCCCTTAAATCTCGGGATGCACAGAAATTCATCAGCAGGCTTACAGAATGCACGTTACCGGGCATAGCCCTCAGAGAGGCCTGGCAGCATCTCCGGGCTTCGGCCTAGGGATCTGCATATAATAAACACTCCAGACAACTTTTACATAGAGGCTCCCTGGACCATGCTTGAGAAATGTCTTCTGTTATGGGCTGAATCTGCCCCTCCCCAAACTCATACATGGACTTCCTAACCCCCTGGTATTTGGAGACAGGCCCCAAAAGAGGTCATGAAGGCAAAATGAAGTCACATGGGCAGAGCCTGGTCCATCCTTGTAAGAAGAGGAAATAGGGACACAGACCCATGTACACAGAGGGTAGAACGTGTGAGGACACGGCAACAAGATGACACCCGTAAGCCAAGGAGCAAGGCCTCAGAGGAGATCACATCTGCCCACATCTTGATCTTGGGCTTCCAGCCCCCAGAACCGGGAGTCAGTAAGTGTCTGTTGCTTAAGTCACCCCATCAACAGGGCTCTGTTGTGGCTGCCTTGGCTAACAAATACACCATCTGGGACCACGGCAGGTGTTGGGGTCTTGACACTAGCCCAGGGGCACATGGTACCATCAGCAGGGAGAGGGGCAGCGACCAGAGGCCCACGGAAGACGGCAGGCAGTGTCGGGAGGCGATGGGCGTCCATGCTGGGCCCAGGCAGGAGTCTGACCAGGCAGGAGTCTGGAGAACAACCCCCTGGCCTGCCCCCAGCTCATGGGGAGGGAAGACAGGGCCCTGGGGGAGAGTCGTGCTCCAGTCAAGGCAAGGAGGGGTGGAGATGAAGAACATCCTGGACCTTCGAAGTAAAAATGGTGGCTCTCTCCCTGGCAAAACCTCACAAAATGACGATCTTCAGGTTCTTTGCAAGATTCAGCCAAAAAAAAAAAACAAGGCTGGGGAAGGTGACAAGTGCAACAGCAGCAACATTCTGAAAGCTACAGAGAAGCTAAGCAGGTAGTGAACACCCTAGCACAATGGTTCTCAAAGTGGAGGTCCCCACCGGTAGCAGCATTGACCCCAACCAGAAACGCATCAGACAAGCAGATTCTCAGGTCCCACTCCAGACTGACTGGAGCCCTGCAACTGCGTCCTCACATGCCCTCCAGCAGAGAAAACAAGAGGAAGCTGGGGAAACCCTGACTCAGTGGGTCAGAAGGGACTGAGCAGAGTGGCCAGGTGCCGAATTCGAGAAGCAATTCCACACAGGGACAGGGAGGACTGTGCCAGGCAACTGCAGAAGCCGAGACCGAGGAGCTGAGGCTGTGAGGATGAGTTGGAAGAGCTCAGAAGGCAGGCAGGGCCCCAGACTCCGCCCATCACTGTCCACCTGCCGGCTGGGTGCCAAGTGGGCGGATCCAGCAAGAACAGGCGCCCTTCTGCCCGGGGGGCCACATGTGAATTCGGGAGTGCCAAAAAATGCATGCACGTTTTAAGGGATGTTATCTACCTACGTACAACTTTTCAAAGTTGAACTGAATGACAGTAACCATGTGTAGTATGATATTCGCTCAAAAGATGGCGTTCATCAAATGAATGCCAGCGTCACCATGCGACAGGCAGAACAGTCAAAGAAAAGGACAGAAGCACAGTTATCGCTCGAGGCACGCAAGCCCTCTCTGAAGTGGCCTTTGAAATTCAAGAACGTTGTGGAAGGACAGCGACAATGGAGGCGTGGATATGTCACAGAACCACCAGCACCCCTCACAACGTCGCGCGTTCGTGATGAGCTTGACACGCGTGGTCCTGTGTGTGACGTGCACACGGGAAGACCCTGGAGACCTCGCACGGCAACAAGCCCTGCGGTCATTCGCTGTAACCAGAAGCGTTTGGGTGCTGGCACAAACACTCTGAGCACCTCTTGTAATTGCAGAAGTCAAATGTGACTTGTCTTCATTTTTCATTATCAGTATATTTTGAGCATTACAATTTTAATACCATTTTTTTCCTTTCTTAAAACGTGTATACATGCTAATGATTGGGCCACATGTTATCTTATTTGCAGAGAGACACTGATCTTGTTCCCAAAGCAAATATTCCTGAATGTGAAAAGGCAGTGTGGTGTCTTGGGGTGGCCATAGAACCAGGAAGCAAGAGGCCACGCTATCGGTCTAACTCTGTCTCCAACTCACTGTGGTGTCAGCACCACAAGAACCTTCCCAGCTCCTGGTCTGCACCAGACTACTTTAAGGGCCTTTGGACACACATATTCTACAGTCTTATACTTAATAGAAGAAGCATGACGCTTATTATAATCCTTGCCAAGACGGACAGACTGGGGGGGGGGGTCTCTTCCTAGGCATTTTCTGTTTGGGGTTTCTACATTCTTGAGTATTTAACTCTGATCAAGTGAAGTCAACCAATGTATACAAAGCTTCTGCTGAGTGGGCAAAAACCAAGTGCTCAGAAGCCTCCCACGACCACCTGTGAGATGACACTGCTGAGTGTTTAAAGGGGCTACCAGGACTCTGGGCGACATCATTTCCCGTCTGCTTTTAGCTTTTTGTATTTTTAACTTGTTTTTAGAGCGCTGAGGTCTCACTACGTTGTGCAGGCTGGTCTTGAACTCCTGGCCTCAAGCGGTTCTTCTGCCTCAGCCTCCGGAAGTGCTGGGATTACAGGCATGAGCCACGGTACCAGCCATAATTCTGCAAAGTTACTTTCCTGCTAAGAAATCAAGCACGACCACAAGGATAGCAAACAGATTAGCAATCTATCGTAAGCGCCCCGTCAGTCATGGTTCCTGTCTGCTTGGAGTGTTGTACTGAGGTCACAGAGCTCATTTCAGACTCTCTGGGAGAGGATGCTGGGATCACTTAGTCATGTCTGCCGTGGGAAAGCCACGGGCCATGTGCTCTGCATTCGCCAGCACACTGTTTCCCTAGCCCAGAGGCAAGATGGCCTCCCTTTGGCTCCGTGAATGCGAACCCTGGACTCCAGGGCAGAGGCTGAGACCCCTCCTGCTGTCCCTAGAAAGAGACAGGGCTGGTAGGTAGCAGCCAAGAGTGGCTGTGACAATCTGGCTCCATCTTTCTGTCTGGGGGAGCCTTTTAGGCATGATTTCCGGGGAGCACAAGTCTGTTAACTTCAGGGAGGCTCTGGAGAGTTCTCGCTTAGTACACAGCCCTCTCACCCCTCCGAGCCCACTGGGGTGCCGTCCATCGTCCCTCCTTCCTGCCGCGCCGCTCACGGTCGGCCTCCCGTATCATGCCATGAAGATGGCTTCTGCTTGTCCATCTCGAGGCTGGGAGCTTCCATGCCCACTCTGGCCTTCAGAGAGGGCCGAAGCTGCGTGGCGGGCAGGACTCTCGCCCCAGGCAGGGTCTGCCTCTCCCAGGACAGGCCGGCCAATACTCACTGCCCATGATCCTGCGCACCGTGGGGCCCTCCGCGGTCATCTCCCTCACGATCTCATTGTCGTCCTCATTGGCGTCCAGCCAGCGGTTGCAGTTGAAGTTGTACTTGTCCTTGTTCAGCGTGTTCACCAGCGTCATCTGGAACAAGGCTCTGGGTGAGCGGGCCGTGGCAGCAGAGGCGTGGCGGCAGAGGCCCTGCACCCCCGGTCCCCGTCTGCTGTCCACCGCAGGGAGGTTGGGCCTTGCCTGGAGACAACCCTCGGGGAAGGCAGAGGCCTGCACCTGCCCAGCAGACTGGTGAACTGGGCAGCGTGCGAGCGAGCCCCCACACACCTAGGTGCATCCTCGCCTGCTCTGGAAGTCCTCTCCCCTCCCTCCCATCAGGACGTCCCCACGGCCTGGATCCAAGTTCAGGTCCCACTGCCAGCCTTCTCTGTCCCCGCCCCTCCACACAGAGGCAAGCCACGCGATGGGTCACAGACGGGGACCGTCCTGCCTCCTCTCCCCGCCGCCCCCAGACCCCGAGGCGACCTGTCTCACCCTTTCCAGATGCCACCCAGAGCCGGGACTCCTCCTGTCGTGCCATGCCCGTATCTTGTAAAACCTGCCGAGGTCCGGGAGCTCAATCTGGGGCAACAAACGGAGCACAGTCAGTGGGCGTAAACCAGGAAGGGTGCATGTCCTCATGGCCCGCCGGTGCTGGGAGGTGCCTGCCCTGGGCTGTTTCCTCAGCGGGAGGGAGGTCAGCCAGCTTCAAGCTGCCCTCACACGCTCTATCCTCCTGGGACCCTGGAAGGATAGAGCATGGCACGACAGGCGTGGAGCCGGGGTTCAGTCTGGGCAGGTGAGACCCAAGGAAAACTAATGGCCCGCTGCGGGATGTAGCCTAAGGGCCTCCAGGCCATAAGTGCCCATAATGGCATCCAAAGGGCAGTCCAATCCTTGAAGCAGGCCTGCAGCCCCGGACGCTGAAACAGACGAACAGACCAACACAGCAGTCGCGGCCTTTCCGTGGCTCGCGGTCTATCAGGGAAGGCGAACACGGAAAGGGTAGCGAGCTGGGTAGTGGGACAGAGGCACCCATGGGTGCTCCGAGAAGGAGCGGCAAGCTAGAGTCTCCTGCCTAGAGGTCAAAGGAGCACTGTTGGAGAAATCGAAAGTCTTGCTGCAGTGACATACAGGCTGAAGGCCTTGACGTTGAATTTCTGGGGAAATGTTCTGAAAGTCACGCGTTCCCTGAAATCCGGCTCCTGCTCCCTCATCCGCCTGGACTGGGCAGTCTGACGCCAAGCACGCCCAGGGTCCCTGTTCTGGACAATCCTCCCGGTCACCCAGGTCCTGCACACCCTCCATCCCACATGGGCGTCCACCTCGGGCTGTATCTGGACTGTCTGGTTCCGATGAACGGCCCAGGTCCAAGTCATGCCCATTCGACACCTGGCCTATCCATCCTCAGCGCTGTCACCCTCTGCAAGGGCCGAGCTTCTCCACTGTGCCTTTCTGTCTTCAAAGCCGGTCCTCAGCCTGGCTCAGGGAGCCAGTGCCCCCGGCGACAGCCCTTCCCCCCTTCTCCCCCCACCCCCCACCCCTCGCCTACCCTGAACTTCTCGATGATGCCCGGCTTGAACCACTTGTTGTTGGGATTCAGGAGAATCTCATCTGACCGCCCCTTCTGCCCGTAGATCTGGATGAAGATGGGCGTGTTGGTACCGGCTTTCTTGAGGTCAGTCGTCCAGACCCACAGGGACCAGGGAAATTCTACGAGACAGGTCAAGTTGCAGGGTTAAGCTCAAGAAGTGAAGAGGTGCTCATGGTACCCAAGGGAAAGGGCAGACAAGCTGAAGTGGTCGAGATGAGGGCAGGCCTCATGCAGGTGTGCCCCACTCTCCGCAACCCATTAGAGCAGGTGCAAGCTTAGATGCCTAAGGATTCCTTGCTGCTAAACACAGGGGCTTTAATGTGCTTTTTAACGCCTGCTGGCATGTTTTATTTGCTTATTTCTAATTTTAGAGATGTGGGGTACAATTCAGGATTAGGTATACAAGTGGCCATCGTACAGGTAAAGTTTGGACCTTCCCTTGGTTCCCACTTAGCCTGGTTTGAGATCAGGTGCCCTTACTGATGTATGTGCCCCCCTCCCCCAGAAGGGTCCCGCTGCTGCCAAACCCTATCTTATTGTATTATGGAAAGTGTTCAGGGCCTGCTTATTTTGAGAACATGTGGTACTCAGTTCTTTGTTTCTGTGATAGATCACTGAGTGTGATACACTCTAAATCCATCTGAGTTGCTGCAAAGTCCACATGTGGCATGTTTTAAACGAGGAAGAGTTGACTTCGCCCACACTATGTCCGATACCTTCGGGTGTCCTGCTATGAACCATCTGGTTAACACCCAGCCCATCATGGCAGCTCATTCAATCCGGGGACACTGGAGTCAGCCCTGGTGCCAAGGGTGTAGCTCTGTGTGGCCCGCAACTTGGAGAACGGAGCTGCCTGGGAGGGCTCGTTCCTCCTCTCTGGAGGAGAGTTGCCCAGCAGTCTGACATCGTGGTCTTTTCTGACTCCGCCTAGCAGGCTTGCAGGGTCTGGGCCTCTCCTGCTTACTTTTCAGGCGCTTCTTCCTGAGAGACACCATCTCGTAGAGCTGCCTCTCAATCAGCCCGTCTGCCTTCTTCTCGTCCAGCCAGTTGCTGCATGGGAAGGTCTGCTGGATGCCAGTGAAGGGACACAGAACCACCACCTGCAGGAGCAGAGCACAAGCATCGTCTGTGTCGGGTCCCTGGTGGGGACCTCGTCACCACACCCAGCCGCCACCTCCGCCCACAGAAAGGGACATCTGATGCTGATCTCAGGACTCTCAAAGAAGAGCACTTCCGTTGCCTGTCTTGTTGAACCTCAAGTTAAGAAAGCCCTCCTCCAAGAAGGCTTCCAAAGTAGGCCTCACCCATCGTCCCGTTTGCTAACTCAGATCTCAGACCTTTTCCTCGATATACAGCATACCATGTTTCTCCATGCACAATGTAAAATCTCAGCTAATCTTAACTAAATGAACTAGACTACTAAATCAACTGCCTGCAATTAACTTGCAGAAGCAAAGTAAACCCTGTGGCAGCTAATTAACATCTGGCCTTCAATACAAAGTTCAGCTACCTTCTTCTAGGCTTGATCCTCACTCAACAGCCTCGCTTTTTCCCTTCTCTATCTCTGCCCACACTCTGAACCCAGGGGCTTCGAACACAGCCCTCAGGCCACTCACACTGTGGATGTTCAGGGAACGTTTCTGGAGCCCTGCAGCACAGGGCTGGGCTGCGGCCTGCTTGGAACTGGGATGCAGGGGGAGGTGAGTGATGGGCGAGTGAGGGAAGCTTCACCTGCATTTACAGCCGCTGGCATTGTTGCCTGAGCCCCGCCAGTCACGGGAGCGTGAGCCCTATTGCGAACTGCGCGTGAGAGGGACCTGGACGGCAGTTCTTTGTGAGCACTGAAGGCCTGACCAGCTGAGGTGGAGCTGAGGTGGCGACGCCAGCACGCAAGCACGGATTAATATGAACGGTGAAGTTTGACCGCACTTCCCTCCCGCCCCCCGCGTGGAAGGATTGTCTGCCCTGAGGCCAGAAAGGCTGAGGACCACTGCCACAGACTCCTCCATCAACAAGTAAATTTTGAGTGTTCATATTGTTGGGTTATAAGCTTTACCTTCTTTTAAACTTGAAATTGAATTTTTTGACACTCCCGTTGGTCGAGCTTTTGACTGGTCTTACTGGATATAAGTTTATTGTCAGTTATTCACAGTGACTACAGTTGACTGTGACTTTCTTAACTTGAATTCTTATCCTTAGCTGTCCCAAGTATCTCTGAGAACTCACCTGACACTCTTTATCTGACCATCATGATGAACCTTAACTTCTAAGAAGCACTATAGGGAGGGATCCTGAGAGACGGAGGGAGGGGAGGATGTACCCCTTCAAATTCCTAGAGACACACTCCTCCCAAAAGGGAAATGGTGGCTCAGGACCCCAGGCAGTAGCGCCCTCAAACATTAGTCCTCTGACATCTTAGATTTAAAAGATAAGAGAATGCTATATGTTTTTAAGTTTATGTCAGTGCCTTTGATAACATACAAATGTACAAATTCCAATAAAAATAGAGTTCGTTGAAACAGACTGGATAAGAAATAGAAAGACCGAATAGCCCTATAACTAGCACAACTAAAACTTTGTTTTTGATCTGTAATTCTCCCTCTCTCCCCCACACACATCTATTTTGCAGGATACTGCAACTGAACATTTGGGAGCATACCTTTGCAATTTTTGGCACCCTCTTATAGGAGCGAGAATACTTCCAGTTTCATTCTAGTATCATTCTAGTATCAAAATTAGTCAAGGGCTATATAAGAAAGAAAAATTCAGGGCTAATGCCACTCATGAACGTAAACAGAAAGATTCTACATTAAGTGTTGCCAAACCAATTTCCAAAACACATAGAATGATAATGCTATCACTGAGTTTGGTTTGTAAAAAGCAGAATTGCTTTTACCATTTGAAAATGTGGTTGTATTCATGTACCGATTCAACAAACCAAAGGGAAGGGCTCTACGACTGTCTCACTGAGTGCAGAAAAAGCATTAGGTAAAATTTAATACCAATTTATAATACAAATTCTGAACAATATAAAAACACAGAAGGAAGTTTCTTAATCTAATCTCAGCATGTTTATCAGAAACCCTCAATAAAAGCTATTAAATAAAAACTTAAGATGTGAGTCCCATCAAATCAGCGACAAAACAAAGATATCCACTACTGAGACAGACCTACTGTTCAGCATTGTACTGTAAGTCTTAGACCATGTAGTCAAACAGACAAAAAAGAAACAAAAAAAGTAGACTTTGAAACGAAAAGGCCAAACTGTCACCATTCACTGACAATATGACTGCCTACAGAGGAAATGCCCAAAGAACTTACTGATTCATCATCAGCATTAATAACAGAGTTTAGCAAGGTGGCTCTACATCTGCTCAGTGCACAGAAAATACTTCTATTTCTACATCAGCAACAAAGGGTTAGAAAATATAACTTTTAAAGAGATACCATTTATAATAGCAACAAAACTCTAAGGTCCCTATGAATATATCTAACAAAGACATGCAACTCCTTTTTTTGTTGTTTTGGGTTTGTTTGGTTTTTTTTTTCTCTTGGGGGTTTTTTTTGAGTTGGAATCTCACTCTGTCACCCACACTGGAGTGTAGTGGCCGCTCCCGGCCACCGCAGCCTTTGACCTGCTGGGCTCCAGCAATCCTTCCGCCTCAGCCTTCCAAGTAGCTGGAACTACAGGCGTGCGCTACCACACCCGGCTAATTTTTTTGATTTATTGTAGAGATGAGGTCTCACCAAGTTGCCCAGGCAGGTCTCGAACCTGCGGGCTCAGGCAATTCACTCGCCTCAGCCTCCCAAGGCACAGGATTACAGGCTGAGCCACCGAGCCTGGCACATGCAACTCCTTTATCAAGAAAAATATAAAACTATATTGAAAATATTAAAGGAGACATAAAATTTAAGAAGTAAGCCATGTTCATAGATAGGAAAATCCAATATAGTAAAAATGTCAGTTTCTCCAGATGACTTTAGAGAGGCAATTGAACTCTGTTCAACAGCATTCTTCATGGAATGCAGCAAAAAGCATTCCTGAAACTTTTATGGAAGCATAAATGATCATGAAGAGTCAACATGTTCTAGAAGAGGAAGAAGGAAGAGGAAGAGGAAGAGAAGAATGACAAATTTTCCCTAGCAGATTCTAAAACCTAATATGAAGGAATGAAAAGAAGACAGTGTGTGTTATATTAGTGCAGAAATAAACTAAATTAATAAACACAATAAACTAGATAGCTCAGTGGCAAAATCACATGTTCTAAGAATTTGATAAATAATAGAGTTGTCTTTTCAGAATAGTGAAGAAAGAGTTACTATTTAGTAGGCCAGTGCTTCCCAAACTTCCTTAGTGACAAGAATGATTTGAAGCACTTCCTGTACAGTCCCTGGAAATTCTGACTCAGTAGTTCTGAGCTGAAGCCTGGGAGTCTATTTTTAACAATGATTCCAGGTGATTCTACACTTTACTCAAGTTTTAAAAGCCCCTCAATAAGCGTTGCTGAAATATTTGAATATCCACATGAAAAAAATTGAATTCCTACCTCACAAAAAACAATTCTTGGTAGATTAAAGATATATTGGAAAAATCAGAACTTAACATTTTGTAGATAAGGATATAGAAGAATGTCTTATAGCTTTAAGAGAAGAGAATTTCTTTCAATAATGCAAAAAGCATTAACCATAAAGGAAAAAATTGACAAACTCTAGAATACTTTTAAGTTAAATCTCTTCCTCAAAGAATATTATAAACAAACTATCAGAAGATATGTGAACATATAGTTTCACCAAAGGAGTAGCATCCAAATTAAACTGAAAAACTCCTAGGAATAAATTCAGAGATAGATCAGTCAATAGAAAAATCAGCAAAAGACATGAACAGGCAGTTAACATAAAAGGAAACATGAATGGCCAATGAGAAATGAAAAAGTGCTCAACCTCAGTAGTAATCGTGACACTAAAAATTTAAAACACAATGGGATTATTTTACAGTCTCCAAATGGTGAAAATTGAAAGTTCAGATAATGTTAGGTGTTGAAAAGGGTGTCTAGAAAAAATACCTCTTACCGATGGCTGGCAGGAGAGTAAAATGGGGCAATTGCTTTGGAAGGCAATCTGGAATACTTTGGAAATAACAATAATCTTGTAAAACTGAAGATTCACTTACCCTGCAACCTAGAACCTCCTCCTGAGAAGCTCTGTCCCATTTGTGTACAAAGACACGTGTACAAGAATTTCATGGTAGTGAAAATCAAGAAACAACTTCAAAATATCCATCAAGAGAGGAATGGGCAGATATATTGCAATTGATTCATACAACGGAATACTTACAGCAGGGCAATGGGTGAAGGAAGCTTCTGTTATCATTTAGGTGGCTATCTAAAGCATAATGTTGGGTGAAAATTGTCAGTTACAAATGGTGTGTACATAGACAAAATTCATAAGAGTGTATGCCCTTTGAAGGAGAGAGACCTATATGACTGGGGAGAGGCAGAGGATGTTCCAAAGGTTTGGGAATGTTCTATTTCTGAAGCTGTGCAGTAGACACAATGGAGTTATTGTCTTAACATTCACTCTATCTTACTGTTATTATGTGTGCTCTCTAAAGTATAAATATTCCACATTACAGACATTTATTTTAAGATACTTGTTGATTGAAAGATTCACAACCTGAGGTGAAACGCTATGCCAGGAATCAGAGTAATCTAGAACCGCCAGCTGAACACTTCTGGGTGACACACTCCATCCTTGGCCTTGGGGTACGCAGACAGAACAGCCTTCGTGCCTGACCCCCGACAAGACAAGCTAGATGGACACAGGACCACCACAAATGCCTGATGAAAGGGATTGCCCAAAGGAAGGAGCAAGTAGGAGTCCAGCCAAAGTTCATAACTTGCAAGCCGCATCAGGGAAGGCTTTCCCGGGTTGGGAACATTCCTCACCTTCTCGCAGTACCAGCCTCTGTTGACGCCCACGTTGCCGTGCCCGATGGAGACCCGGCTCAGGGGACTGAGGAGGACGGCCAGCTCGATGTGAAAGATGTCCGTGCGGCCTCGGTCAAACACACCGCCCTCCAGGAAGACTTTCCCGCTGTTCTTATTCCCTCGGGCCCCGTACATGACCAAGTAGATTTTGGATTTGGTCCCAGCACCCCGCACATCCCCAGTGAAGATGGTGACAATATACGTGATAGCTGAAATGGAAGAGAGGGGTCGAAGTGAGCTGCATCGTGACACCGCCCCCCGTCCCCCAGCTGACGGCGATGTCCTGTGCTAGCCCATCCTCCACACACACTAACTCCCACTCAGGTGCTCTCCCCCACATCCTCATCCACCCGTGTCCACCCCCTCCACACCTTCTCACCCCTCCGTGTCTTCCTTCCTTCCCCACATCCTCCTCTCACATCCTCCTCCACACATCCTCATTTCCCCCAAGCCCTCTTCAGACGACACCCACTGTCCCTCTCAACCTCCTCTCATCTTCTACAGAGTTCGAGTGTCAGTGCATCTTAGTTTGAGAATAAATTCCCCGTAATCATTACAGGAAACCATCAGTCCTCATTCCCGGAAACTAGCAAAGAGAAGGAGTTACTTGGGTTGGCTAAGAATAGGACCTGTTTTTGCTGATAATTACCATGTGTTCATTATTAATAGCTGTCAGATGAATTCTGTTATGTCTAATATAATTATAATAGTCAAGTTCATTAGTGGAGATTTATATTTGGAGCTCTCTGATTCATTTAGCTGGCTCTTTTCCTGATAACTTAAAAACATAACTTAATAGAGCGCATTAAGGCCTTCCTCTCTGCCTGATACGGTGGAGGAAGGGAGGATCGAGGAACAGAGGGAGCACTGTGGGTTGGGCCTTTGGGGGTCTTGGTCCACCAGGAAGTGCCTGAGGACACGGGCTTCGCAGGAGGAGCGGCATGGGGGCTGTGCGCTGAGGCGGGGCCCAGCAAGAGGAGCACCAAGGCAAGCACTCAGCTGGGACTGGCGTGCACTCTCCATCCTGTCCTGGGGTCTGGGGCAACTGGCACTGGAGGCCTTAGGCCCCCGCCCATCACTCACCCTGTCCCGCCGCACATCCCCATTCTGTGACCCCCGAGGAACAAACATCCTGAATTTCCCTGGGAGAGAGGCCATGTGACCACATGGACGAGAGGCAGGACAGCTGGCATTGCCAAGACATAGATGGTGAGTTTCCTACAGGCCAGCTTAGACCATTAGGAAGCCAGATGGTCAGCATCTGGGCGCTGTCTCCTCAGGACATAACTCTTTTAAACAACACCTACACTGACGGAAACCCAGGCCCAACTTTGGAATAGGGGACGGCAGCAGGGAGTCACCAGAGACACTGAGGCATGGTGTTTCCATTAAGTAGCAACTTCTCCCATAACCTCAGAATTCCTCGCGACACATGTAAGCTTAGGGGTAAAATGATAAGGACTGAAACTTGCAATCTGTAGCTTACTGTAACCTCTGTAACACACGGAGCTTAGCTTAGAAACAGGTTGGTTGGTCAGTATTTTGGAAACATGCATAAAGCACCCTGCTAGCAGCACAGGGGTTTCCTTTCCCTTGAGAGCACCCACGTTCTCTAACCATACCTAAAAACCCTCTCTTGGACTCACTCTGACATGCCCTTCCACGGTGAGTCAAGGGCCCACGGAGCAAGGATGCCCATGTGACCTGGCATCAGATGCACCATGCATTCACACACTCACACCTCCTTCAACAAGGCAAACACGCACTGAGTGCTTACTGGATGCCAGGCCCACGGGCATGTGTGAATGCCACTGCTCTGAGAGTGGGTCTAGAGCCTCATCTCTCCAGGGCATGGGGACAGGCGGACCTCCCCCCATGGTCCGTGTCACAAAACAAGCCATCCCCCGGGTCTGCTGTCTCCTCTTTCACCATACCCGGGAGACGAGTAGCAGGAACGCATGCCGTCGGCCTGCGTGCGAAATCCATCCTAGCACGGTTTTAAGTAAAGTGAAACTGTTGTGACAAATGACGTGTGACACGCCTCGCCATGATCTGGCCACAACTGTGGCTGGAAAGCGCCAGGGCCGAGGGGCACTTGTCCCCAAAACAATAGCACCCGGGGTCTGCTAAGGAGGCGTGGAGGAAAAGGAGAAAGGGCCCATCCGGAGGGGGCCGGGGAGACTCCGCGGAAGTTTCTGGATGCAGGATTTGAGCAGCAGAAAAAAGCAAAAGCGCTTTACAGGTGGAAGAGGTGGCAGGTTCAAGGTCGAGGGGTGAAGAAGAAGGAGGTCAGCGGTGGAGGGAGAGGGCAGGGAGAGCGAGGGGCGAGGCTGCAGCCGAGGGAAGGCTGGCGGGACCACATGCAGCCAGGTTGTGGCGCAAGCTGTGCGTCCCACCACGGGCCCTGGGCTTCATCACTGGCGGGGAGTCACCAGACTCTGCTGCAGACCACACCCTCAGGGGGGCACAGCACCAGCGTTGATCTTCCAGAATGCCGGTGGCTGGGAGGTGGAGGAATGCTGTGGAACCTGCACCCTTGGCTTTAGGAAGCAGACCGGGCCTGGATCCGAAACTCACAATGTGTGACCTGGCAAAGGTCTGTCCGCCTCTATGCGCCTCCATTTCCTCATCCGTGAAACGAGAACAAGGGTGATTGTGACAGTGAATGGACCCTAAACAGGTCAGGCGCCTCGCAGAGGGCCTGGCCTACAGGAAGCACACAGCATGAGGAGGAGATAACATAAATCGACATCCTCATGAACGTACAACTCATGGAAGTTCACGTTCCGAATTCTTCCCATGGAAAACTTCCTTGCCCGGGGCAGTCGGTGTTAGCTCAACGCCTCCCCAGACCTCCTGGAATGACTCTTCTCGGGACATCACCCTGGAAACCCAGGAAGTCAGTGTCTGCTTGGGGCATCACCCTGGATGCCTTGGGCATCAGTATTTACTTGGGACATCACCCCAGATCCCCTGGGAGTCAGCGTGTGCTCAGGACTTCTCCCCGGATCCCTTAGAAGTAGTGTCTACTCAGGATATCATGCCAGATCCTCTGAATGTCAGTATCTTCTCAGGACATCACCCAGATACCCTGGGAGTCAGTGTCTGCGCGGGACACCTCCCTGAATGCCCTGGAGTCAGTGAACACTTGAGACATCCCCTGGATCCCCTGGGAATCAGTGTCTACATGAGACATATCCCGGATGGATCCCCTGGGAGTCAGTGTCTATACAGGCCATCTTCTGGATCGCCTGGGAGTCTGTCTGCTCAGAGTCTCTCCCCAGAACCCCTGGGAGTCAGTGAACCCTTGGGACATCTCCCCGGATCCCCTGGGAGTCAGCATCTACTCGGGACACCTCCCGGATGCCCTGGAAGCCACTGTCTGCTCAGAGCCTCTCCCCAGATCCCCTGGGAGTCAGTGAACCCTTGGGACATCTCCCCAGATCCCCTGGGAGTCTGTGTCTGCTCAGGCATCGCTCCCGACCACCCAGTGTCAGCTGCACCCCGCTGTCCCAAGGAGCACGGAGCATCAGGAGCAAGAGCGACACCGCCTCTGCCCCGGCTGGGCCTGCCAGGTCACAGCTGACAACACCGACCCTTGGGCCGCACAAAGAAGCCAACCGCCCCACCCCACATCTACCTGTGGTCTCCGCTCCGCCCACCAAGATGTCCCTCTGGATCTTGCCGTCATCCTCGTCCACGGCCAGCCAGCGGTTGAGGGGGAAGTCGTATTTTCTTTTGTTCCCGATGTCTTCAATGATAATCTGGGAAGGGGGAGGGCAGGAACGGGGGTGGGTTCACCGACTGCCGCTGGTGCTCCCATCCATGCCGCCCCTCACTTGCGTGCACGCAAGGAAGACCCACTCCTTGCTTCAGTGACCCAGGGAAAGCCGGCCACAAGGACGCTGCTGTGTCCAGGGAAGCCTGGTAAAGCCTAGAGTCACACAGAGACACCCCAGAGCCCGGGCCACCGCTCCCTCCACCGCTGCTGGGAGTCTTCAAAGTCAAAGCAAGAAGGTCGAGCACAGTAGCTAGTGCCTAGAAGCCCAGCACTCTAGGAGATGAGGAAGATCACTTGAGCCTGGGAGTTCGAGGCTAGCCTGGGGAACACAGGGAGACCCCATCTCTACCAAAAAATAAAAGTAATTAGCTGGGCATGGCGGGGCATGCCTGTATTCCCAGCTACTCGAAAGGCTGAGGCAGGATAGCCTGAACTGAGGGGGTCAAGGCTGCTGTCATGAGCTGTGATCGCCCCACTGCACTACAGCCTGGGCGACAAGACGGGACTCCAGCTGAAAATAAAAATAAAGCAAAATAAAAAAGAAGACTTAGTTCTCATGAAATCGGAGTATTCAGCCTTAAAGACAGAAAGGACTATGATGAAAAGGCAACAAGATGACACTGAAATATTACTAGATCGATCTAAAAACGGCAGTTTAACAATTAAACGATATCGCAACAATGCCTCAAAGCTCTGAAATCTTGTTATCCTTTAACCAACTCCTAGGAATTTATAGTAAGAAATAATCGTCGACATGCATAAAGATAAGCTGCCAGAATGTCTGGCCCGGAACTGTGTATAATGTGGGAGCTTACTATACAAACATATATCATATGCCATGTAGCAAAATTATACAGGTTGAGCATCCCAAATCTGAAATGCCCCCAAGCCCCAAATTTTTGAGCACCGACATACTGCCACAAGTGGAAAATTCCACACCTGACTTTGCATGATGAGTCATAACCAAAATGCAGTTAAAATTTGATTTCATGCACAAGATGATTTAAAATATTGTGCAAAAGTACCTTCAGGCTGTGTATAAGGTATATCCAATTCCATTCTGAAATGAAATTTCACCCATATCCATTTATGAAACGTAAATGAGTCTCATCTTTACACTTGGGTCCCATCCCCAAGGTATCTCATTATGTACAAGCAAATATTCCCAAATCCAAAAATATTTAAAATGCAAAACACTGCTGGTCCTAAGCATTTCAAGGAAGAGCTAGTCAACCTGTATGGTACAATATATTTTTTACATACTATATAATAGTACAATGTGTAGTATAGTATAATCATATGATATAATAATTTTGAGAAAACATAGAAATATCTATTTTCTATTTTAAAAGGAGACTGTTTTAACTAGTCACAGTAGATCTGTACAATGAACTTCTCTTATGGTCGTTAAAAATCACATTGTAAAAGATCCGTATCCTTCTATTTAAATAACTTGGGCCGAGCTTGGTGGCTCAGCCTATAATCCCGCGCTTTGGGAAGCTGAGGTGAGTGGATTGCCTAAGCCTGCGGGTTTGAGACCTGCCCAGGCAACTTGGCGAGACCTCATCTCTACAATAAATTTTAAAAATCAGCCGGGAGTGGTAGCATGTGCCTGTAATTCCAGCTACTTGGAAGGCTGAGGCGGAAGGATCGCCGGAGCCCAGCAAGTCGAGGCTGCAGTGGCCGGGAACGGCCACTGCACTCCAGTCTGGACGACAGAGTGAGACTCCAACTCAAAAAAATAAAAAAAATAAGCAAACAAATAACTTGGGAAGTATGCACGTTCCATGCAAAAGTGAAAACATAGAATAGGTTCATTATGACCCCATTTAAAAAAATTATATATCGTAGATAAATAGAGAGATCAATTAATAGAAAAGCAACTGAAGGATGGTCATCAAAATATTAATGTATTATGTTTGGGCAAGGAAACTGAGTGGTTTATATTGTCTTTTTTTGTTGTATACTTGTATTTTCTAAACTTTTTACTTTTATGAGGAAAAGAATGTAGAGCCATTGGGAAATGAAACAGAAAAGCAAGTCCATGCTGTGGGGATGCGTGGTGGGAACTTGGTACCATGTCAAGGAATGTAAAGAAAACAGGGATGGAAGGAGGAAGAGAGAAGCTGCAAGTTGTGGAGGCAGAGAATGGAGAGCCAGTCACTGGATGACGGGAAGTCCCAGGAAGAGGCCAGAACAAATGCCACCCAAGCAAGACTCTAGAAGGTGACAGGGAGTCTTTTCTGAGCTAGCAATTAATTACAAATAAACAAATGTCCTGCCATCAGGTAGAAAAGGCTTGCTTGTTCTAGAGAAATTTAAAACAAATACACAGTGGGGGGGGAGGGGAGAGGGGAGGGAGGATGAACCGACACAGTCCCCCCCCCCTTAGATGCTCCCTGACAAGATTTTCGAATTAGAAAGAAAAACAATCCTGCTAGCATCTGGCAGGAAAAAAACATTAGGTTACCCACAAAAGCAAAAGTCTGCTTGTCCTCAACAGCAAATGTCAGAAGGCCACGGAGTAAGATCTGCAGCGTGTGTGTGTCGTCCCTGCCCAGCTGTCCCTTGGGTGTGAGGGCCACAGAGGGCCACAGTCTGGCATGGGGACCTGTCCCTTCTCGAGTCTTCCCAAGAGACAGGGATGAACAGCCCCGTCAACCAAGGAAGCCCAGCTGTCCCCTCTGCAGCCCCGCCCACAGAGCCCTGTGTTTCGCTCCTGCAGTCTTCCTTCTCAGGATGAAGGGACTAGACGCTAGAGACCTGCTGCGTGCCCACGCGGGCCAAGGCCATAACACACACTGGCCTCGCCTCCGTCCTCTGCCTGGGCAAGTAGAGGAAAACACCCCTCTGCCTGCGGGCTGGCACCTGGATTCTGGAGTCCCACCCCGTACTATCTCCAAGCCTCCTGGGCGCCCTGTCCCGCCCAGCTGTGCTGCTCTTAGGGCTGAGCAAGGCCTTCCTTTCCAAAGGAATTCCAGCCACTCCATGCTGATGCCGGGTCCCACACCAAGAGCCCGAGTGGCGCCTTCCGGGTGGCTGTGGGAAGAAGGCAACAGCCACTCCAGGGCACTCACCCAACACCATTCCCCAACACCAGCTTTTGCTTCTGTTATAAAGGCCAGAGAGACTTCTCAGCTTCCACTGCAACTGGGTGGCCACGTAGCACATTTTTGGCCAATGAAATGTCACCAGAAGCTGCAAAGATGGCTCTGCTTCTTTCAAAACCATGCAAGACTTGCCAGAAAACAGTCTTTATGCCCTCTGTCCTTCCTTCCCTTCCTGGCTGGAACAAGAGGGTATGCCTAGTGACTCTACAACCATCCTGTGACCACGAGACAGCAGCTGGAACAGGGAAGCCACAGTGCTGAGGATGGTGATGCAGCAGACAGCAGGTGCCCCGAAAGCAGCTGCACCAGCCCCAAGCTGACCGTGTCTGCATCTCCTGTGAGATGATGAGACAAGCCCCTGGCTGTTTGACGCCACACTTCAACTTTCTGATACTGGCAGCCCGACATGTTTCTAACTGATGCTAGAAGACAAATGACATCAGACAGTAACAAAACCTCAACTGCTAGACAGCATGGTTCTTTATAGTCAAGTTATTGCGAATCTAAGTGTTTCCTGTTTTAAGCAATAAGACCTTTTCAAAATATTTTTTTTTTTTTGAGTTGGAGTCTCACTCCATCGCCCAGACTGGAGTGCAGCCGCCACCGCAGCCTTGACCTGCTGGGCTCCGGCGATTCTTCCGCCTCAGCCTTCCAAGTAGCTGGAACTACAGGCGCACGCCACCACGCCGGGCTAATTTTTTATTTATTGTAGAGATGAGGTCTCGCTAAGTTGCCCAGGTGGGTCTCGAACCCAGGGCTCAGGCAATCCACTCACCTCAGCCTCCCAAAGCGCTGGGATTACAGGCTGAGCCACCAAGCCCGGCTAAAATATTTTTTAAAAGTATATAACACGTTAACATTTCCCTCTCATTCTGTGCTGAGCTGAGATGCAGCAACATCTTATTCACGAGGGAAAGAATTACAAAGACTGTGGCCCGTTTCCCCAATGACCTCAGACATCCCCGCCCTTTTTTTTTTTTTTGAGTTAGTGTCTCATTCTGTCGCCCAGGCTTGAGTGTGGTGGCACACTCACAGTCACTCCATCATTGACCTGCTGGGCTCCGGCGATCCTTCTACCTCAGCCTTCCTAGTAGCTGAAACTACAGGTGCACACTACCACGTCCAGCTATTTTTTTTTTAATCACAGAGATGAGGTCTCATCAAGTTGCCCAGGTTGGTCTCAAACCCGTGGGCTCAGGCAATCCACTCACCTCAAGTGCTGGGATGACAGGCTGAGCTACTGAGCCCTGCCGCCCATGAATTTTTAATATTCCTTTGGCATTTTCTGTCTCCTCTCCCTACCCCCACTACTCTCAAGAGCCCTATGACAGTGCCTCTTTATCCTTCTAGTTTTCTGCTGTGAGTTTGACATTTCAGGTAGTGAGTTTGCCAGGAGGGCTGGCATGCAACTACTAGGCTCTGAGTGAGGCCCCAGAGAAGTGCCAATCCAAAGACTGGGCGGGCAGGATGGAACTGGGGGCCTGAGATTCCCACACGAACTGGGCACTGGACATGTTTTGGCTGCTCAGAAGTCTTTTTGCTTTCTTCTTAATTCTTAACTTTGTCATGGAAGGTAAAACTACCAGGGACCCGAGATCCTGAAATTTAGAGTTGAGAAGTCACAAGGAGGCATACGATTTGGGCCCGTGGAGGCCAGGGGCAGGGCTGTAAACGTCCATGGGCGGGGAGGTTCTGGAGGGCCAGAGCCAGGGACAGCTTCCCGGCAGATGACCAGACCCCGGCTGGGTTCCAGCGGGAGGATGGGGCTTTCGAGGGACTGATGGCTGGGCAATGTCCTGGGGCCACACAGGTTGGGGGACAACACAGCTGGCCAACAACTCGAGCAGAAGGGTGGGTACAGGTGGACCTGGGAGGGAAGTCGGGCCGGGACACGACCCTCCAAGGAGCCAGAGGCCCCCCCTGTGACAGACGGAGACCCCGATAGACAGCTGCACGCACCTTGGACAGGAACCAACCGGCGGAAGCCCCCTTGTTGTTGTGGCCGACGTTGATCTTCATCAGCTGGCCCAGGTCTGGGGCGTCCAGCATGAACTTGTCCTCGGCTCCTTTTTCAAAGTTGTCCTTTTCGTTCTCCAGTCTGCGCTCGCCTGTGTGCTCAGACACACAAGGAGATGACACAGAAGACCGGGAGAGGAGAGGAAGCCAGTGCAGAGCCCCGTGGGCCACTCACTGAAGGACACGCTTCCGGGGTTGGTGAGGGCAGCCTCCCTCGAGATCTGAGGGCACCTGCATCCCTCTGGCTTCCAGGCCAGGTGGAGACATGCCTGGCGCATGGCCTGTGCCCAGCTCCCATGACTGGGGTTTTGGTTTCTGCCCCTTCCTGCCAACTGATCTGTTTCCCTCCCCCTCTGGAGACCCAAGGCCTTGCCTCACTTGCAATTGCAGGTGGCTCGTCCTGAACCAGAGTGATGGCCATAGTGGCTGGTGTGGGGCAGTGGCTGGGACCCTGACCCTGGCCTACAGCCTTCCCCAGACCCGACTGCCCTTCTGGAAAACCATGATCATAACCGTTACTAGATGCAGCTGGTTATTGAATTAGGGTTGTTTTTTTTCCTTCACGTATTTCTTGCCACAATTCAAGAAGGAAGTATTATTCACTCTGTCTTGCAAGTGAAGAAACAGAGACTTACAGAAGTTAAATCGCTTGCCAAAAGTAGACAGGTGATGGTGCACAGTTCAGATTCAGTTTCTAGCCTGTTCCTTCTGCTTTGCAATTTTCCATTGTTATCTTTCTACAAGGCAGATTTGCCATATCCTCCCACCTGAGCACCAATGTTTTGCTGAAATCATCCTGTGTTCCTTCTTTTCTAATACCAAATTCTTTAAACATTTAAAATTTTAAATTGTGATCCCTCCAATATATAGACAATCATCAAAGACATTCATGTGTCCACCATTCAGATTTAAGACATAAAACAGGTTTTTGCTTACTTGACTTCAGATCTGTCTCATTTCTTAAGGACATAAACCGTAACAGATGTGTCTCAGGCCCCTCCCCGTGACTCTTTTCTGCTTTCTTCCCCAAAACAAACACTAGCCTCCATTTCGTGTGCACTGCTCCCACAAGTTTCTGTCTACACATGCATGTGTCTACACAGAAGACATGCTACTTTTGCCTGCTTTAGCATTTTGCAGAAACAATACTACAGCACACGTCTCTCTGCCTTGAGTTCTTCATCTGTACCGTGTGGTGACAGGAGTTCCAGCCCAAAGGTTTCGTGTGGAACTGGCTATATTCATGCACAGGCGGCATGGGGGTATCCCGGGGGGTAGAACAGCGCCGGGGGTGGCTGCTATTGTTCCCGTCTTCACCATGTACCCGGTGTAATCTGCTTTCCCTCGGTGGCTGTCGTGTCTTGGAGGGCAGCCTATGGATGCCAGTCACTGTTCCAGACGCAGTCAATAGAATGAAGAACACAGCAGCCATCTGTGCCTCCCTCTAGGGTAGGGCGTGTCGGTTTCGGAGGACTTGCTGTTGCTGTAGCATGGAAACGAACTCTTCTGTTGGTATCTCCAGCCGCACATCTGTGCTCTGAGTTGACACCTACAGGCAGGACATCCACCAGGTCCTGCGGTCTGCTGACCTTCCGTTTCCTAGGAGCCGCAAGATCGTCCTCCAAAAACGGCCATGCTGCATGCAGGGAGTAGGGGGATTCTCATTCCCCACAATCATTATTAACATATATATATATTTCTATTTGAGTTGTAGTCTCATCCCCTAATCCAGGCTAGAGTGTAGTGGCACACTCACGGCCACCCCAGCGCCAACCCGCTGGGCTCCAGCGGTCCTTCTGCCTCAGCCCTCCAAGTCGCCAGAACTACAGGTGTGCGCTACCATACCCAGCTAATTTTTTGATCTTACTGTAGAGACGAGGTCTCATCATGCTGCCCAGGCTGGTCTCGAACTTGTGGGCTCAGGCAATCCGCTCACCTCAGCCTCCAAAAATGCTGGGATGACAGGCTGAGCCACTGCATCCAGCAACACACATTTTGTGTGTGTGTGTGTTGGAGTCTCACTCTGTCGCCCAGACTGGAGTGCAGTGGCCGCTCCCGGCCACCACAGCCTCGACCTGCTGGGCTCTGGCGATCCTTCCACAGCAGCCTTCCAAGGAGCTGGAATTACAGGCGTGCGCTACCACACCCGGCTAATTTTTTGATTTTATTGTAGAGATGAGGTCTTGCCTGCCCAGGTGGGTCACGAACCCGTGGGCTCAGGCAATCCACTCACCTCAGCCTCCCAAAGGCACGGGATTACAGGCTGAGCCACCGAGCCCGGCTTATTTTTTTAAATGTTTATTCGCTGTGTGTACAGTGGTATCTTGTTGTGGTCTTAATTTGCATTTTCCTACTTATTTGGAGAGATCGAGCGGGTGTTCAAATATACTATACAGGGGTGCCAGAACCATGTGTACACATTTTAAGTGTGGCGTTCACTCAAAAAATGGTGTTAATCGAGTGCATGCTAGCATCACCATGTGGGAGGCAGGACAGTCAAAGAAAATGGCAGAAGCACGGTTGACCGAACGTCATGCTACACATGGCTGCCATAGTTCAATTCAACATAGATAACGTCTCTTAAAATGTGTATGTGTGTATCTATATGTATACCATGTAGCCTTTGCTCTTCTGTAATTTTCCTGTTTTTATCTTTTATTCCATTTTTCTACGGTCCTTGTGATTTTTTATCATATAAACATTTTTCTTGTTTCGGTGTGCTTCATTGATACTTCTTTGGCTGACTTAGTTAAGAAACCTCATCTCTAAATCGACATTAAAGAATACCCTTTTAGAGTTTCTTCCAAAAATTTTATAGTTTCGCTTTTTCACATTTAAGTCTTTAGCCCGTGTGAAAGTTATTTTTGTGCATGGAGAAAGGTACAGGTTTAATTTTATCTTTTCTCATGGTGAGACAATTTTTCAAACACCAGTAACTGAACATTTCTGATTTTCCTTCTGATTTATAATGTCACATCTACGTGTGTTCCTAGACGCTTTATTCTGTTCCATTCCTGTATTTTGTTTGTCCTTCTACTAATATCACAGTGTTTTAATTTGTCAAGACCTATAATGTCTTAATATCTGGCAGGGTGAATATTTTTACACTATTAATTTTGTTAAGATGAATGGCCAGCACAGTGGCTCACACCTGTGATCTCAGCACTTCCGGAGGCCAAGGTGGAAAGCTCACTTGTGCTCAGGAGTGGAAGAACAGCCTAGACAGAGTGAGACCTTGTCTCTACAAAAACTAAAAAATTTAGCTAAGTGTGATGGCATATGCTTGGGAGGCTGAGGCTGGAGAATTGGTTGAACCCAGGAATTCAAGGCTGCCGTGAGCCATGATCACGCCACTGCACTCCAACTTAGGTGGTAATGTGAGACCCTGTCTCAAAAACATAGAGTAAAATAAAACTTCAAAAAAATTGTAAAAAATATTGCTTTCGTTATTCAGGATTGTCTTGGCAATATTTGGTCTTCTGTGATTTTCCATGCATTTAGTAGTAGTTTAGGCCGTGTGGTATTGCCTATTAGGATTTTGGATGAAACTGCATTGCATTTTTAGAACAACCTGGGAAATTTGACATCTTAATCAATTTGAGCCTTTTCACATCCTTGACCATATTTTTCCATATATTCGTCAACAGATGTATGTTTTTTCCAGAAAGTTCTTTTTAAAAATATCCTTTTTTTTGAGAAAGCAGGATTTATTGAGAGGATAGAAAGGTTCCCACAGAGGGTGGGGACCCAAGGGAGTTGCCCTAAAAATATTCTTGGCATCTTATAATTGTTAATGTAAATAGCATATTTTTATTTTATTTTATTTATTTATTAATTTTATTTTATTTTTTTGAGTTGGAATCTCACTCTGTCACCTAGACTGGAGTACAATGGCCACTCCTGGCCACCGCAGCCTCGACCTACTGGGCTCCGGCGATCCTTCCGCCTCAGCCTTCCAAGTAGCTGGAACTACAGGCGTGCACTATCATGCCCGGCTAATTTTTTTTTTATTTATTGTAGATATGAGGTCTCGCTGCCCAGGTGGTTCTCGAACCCGAGGGCTCAGGCAATCCACTCACCTAAGTTTCCCAAAGGCAAGGGATTACAGGCTGAGCCACCGAGCCCAGCTAAATAGCATATTTTTAAGTCAAATATTTTGAATTGCTAGGCATTTTCATTAATTTTTGTATATTAGTCTTGTGTCCAGCACCTTTATTAAACTTTCTCTTTGTTTGCCTCTGAAGGTTTGTAAATGCTTTCGGATTTTGTGGATGATCATTATTTTTCACGAAGATGAAAATTTGTCTCTTCACTTTAACCATTATAGCTTTTACTTCTTATTCTTTTTCTTTGCTGTGACCCTAGAACCACCAGCATTGTGGTGAATAGAAGTTATTGTTAGCCAGAATATTTCTTTTGTTCCTGGTTCTGAAGAGAGCATTTCCAAGTATTCATGATTAAGCATGATTTCAATGCCCATTCTGATAGATAGTCTGGTCCTTTTCAAGAAGTATTCTTTCTATTTCTGGTTTCTACAATCTCCTTAAAGTCATGAATGCAGATTTTCTTGCATCTACTAAGATAATTCCATTTTTTCTCTTCAATCTGTTAGGTGATAAATTGCGCGAATAGGGTGACTGATGTTAAGTTGTCCTTGAATCCTAGAATAAACTTTACAGAGTAGAAACCATTTATCATTTATCCTTATATTTATTGATTAATTCAGTTGCTAATATCTTACTATTTTTAGGTCTTTGTTCATAAATGAGACTGATTTGTACATTTCTTTGTTATCATTTATCTGCCTGATTTGGTTATCAAAAATTATAAGATGAACTAGCACTCATGACCTCTTTCCCTATTCTTTAAAACCATTTGTATGAGTGGAGACTAATGGTTTCTTAAATATTTGGTAGATTTTGCCTGCACAATCTTCTAGGTCTGATGTCTTGGATGAATTTTAATTGCTGTTCTAATGTCTTTAATGATTACGGATCTCCTTGGAAACTGGCTGCAGCAAGTCCTTAAGACAATCCTTTTAGGGTGCTGAGACAAAAGACCAGGCAATGTCGCCCAGTGATGATCACAAGGCTTGGACCCAGCATCTTCACCATGCCAGGGGAGAGCATGGTGCTCCCCCAAGCATGAACACTGACATGGAAGATGAGAACTGGAGGCCAAGCATCCCTCATGGCATACTGCTATCAGAACCAACCCTGAGAAAGAGGCTGACGCTTCTCCAATAGCATAGCTTAAAGACCTCACGGCCCAAGAGCCGATGTCCCTCTCCCTGGTCTGCAGCCTTGCCCCACAAGGTCCTTCTGGGGTGACTCAGTAAGTGATGGGTAACAGGGACCTGCACACCTGCTGTTGCTACTGTTTTTGTTAGTTTTCCCCCAACAACTTCTGTTCCAGATGGTGGTGGTGGTGATGGTGGTGATGGTAGTGGTGGTGATGGTGGTGGTGGTGATGGCAGCGATGGTGACATGACATGTGCTACCAGATTACTCACAGAAGTTTTTCCTTGATTAATTACTTAGAAAGGTGCTTTTCAATTTCTAAATGGGGTGAGAGGTTGTAGTTTCTCCTAATTTTTTACTGCCTTGTAACCAAAGAATTTGTCTCTGTGCTATTGATTTGCTTCAGTTGGTTAAGACTTGCTTTTTGGTCTAGTAGATGGTCACCATGTGCTTGATAAGAGCGTGCATCTCAACCAGCTGGATGTAGCAGTTGCCATGCTTCCACTGGATCAAGCATATTCACCATGCAGTTAACACCTTCTCCACTTATGCTAAGCTATCATCTATCTCACCTACCAGTTATTGAGAGTGTTAGATCCAAATCTCCCCCCATGATCATATACTTGTCAAGTTCCTCCAAGAATTTTATGAATTTTTGTTTCATACCTTTTGAGAATATGTTGTGAAGTTTATATAAGTTCAAAATTATTATAGGATCCTTTTGCTATTATTCCTTTCGTGGGTGTCTAATACACTTTTATTTTAACAAAGTGGTTTCCTTAAAGCTTCATTGGGTAAATATTAATATAGCTATAACAGGAAAGAATTCCTGTTGTTGATATTTTCCTGGTATGCTTCAATTCATTCTATTTATTCTCAGGCCTTCTGTATCATATATTGTATCTAAGCTGAATTTTTTTCTGTTCATCAAATATTAGACTATCTTTTAACTGATGACTTTAGTGACTTACATTTATTGATACATGTGTTTTACGTCTTGCTATCAGCATCTTCTTTTTTTTTTTGAGTTGGAGTCTCACTCTGTCGCCCACACTGGAGTGCAGTGGCCGCTCCCGGCCACCGCAGGCTCGACCTGCTGGGCTCCGGCGATCCTTCCGCCTCAGCCTTCCAAGTAGCTGGAATTACAGGCATGCACTACCACGCCCGGCTGATTTTCTTATTTATTGTAGAGATGAGGTCTCGCTGCCCAGGCGGGTCTCGAACCCACGGGCTCAGGCAAGCATCTTCTTTTTTTTGCTTATTTTCCCTCACAACCTGCCTTCCATTGGATTGAGTGTTTATTTCCTTTTAGTCCTTCTACTGGTTTTTAAGTTGTGCATTTCTATTCTGGGGAGGTTAGTTTTACAATTTTAAGATGAATAATTGACTTACTAAAGTCCAGAGTTCATTGCCATCTATCTCTACTCTTCCAGGTGTGGGGAGATAAGCAGGGACCAAAGGGCCAAGGGCTTTATTGTGTTTCATTTCTCACCATCCACTTTCTTTCTAAAATATTATTGATTTTCAGTGTTTGGGTATGTCTACATTTCCTCGTGCACTGATATTAGTCACCATTATTACTGCTTTACATGGTAAATGCTTGCTAGGATTTGTTACGTCTCCATTTTTTGCTCATCTTTGTTTCTTGGATCCACTCCCTTCTTCTGTGTACAATTTCCTTCTCCTTAAAGCACGTCCTTTAGCAGTTGCTTAAGTATAGATCTATGAACGCTAAACTCAATTTCTCTTTGTTTGCATGGACATTTGTTAATTTTGCCCTTACTCTGAAATGATAATCTTGCTGGCACAGGATTACAGGATGACATATATTCTTGCTCAGAACACTGAAGATAATACTCCTTGGACTTACAGCTTCTGTAAGTTGCTGATAGCAATTTGCTCTCCACCGATTTGTGTTTACAGACGGCCATCTGCCGTATCTGCTTCCTTTACAGATATTTCTCTTTGCTCTGAGTTTCGCTGCAGGACTAAATGCAGATTTGTTTTTATTTATTCTGTTCAATGACTCATTCTGCTACTTTGATCTGGAGATTCGTATCTTTGCTCAATTCTGAAAGCGTTCTGGCCATTATCTCTCCACTGATTTCCTCTCACCTAGTCTCCATATCGTCTGTTTCTAGAACTGACACTTGTCACTCGCCCCTTGTGCCTCCTGAGCTCTCATTTATATTCCCCAGCCCTTCACTTCCCTGTGTGGCACATAGATCACCACACAGGGTGATCTTATCTCATAGATCACCATAGAAGTGGTGATCTTATCTCATAGATCACCACTTCTCCATTCAGCCATTTCTAATTGTGCTGTCTGACCCACCCGCGGTGTATTGATCTTCAGTGACTATATTTTCATTTCCTGTACTTCTGGGTTTTTTTCTAAACATACTATATTTTTTAGAGTGCCTTGCTATTTTTTTCAATTGTTTAGTGGTTTTAAACAGTTTGAACAATTTAAGTTATAGCCTGTCTCAAGTTACTCCACTATTTGAAATTCTTGAGGATTTGACTTATTGTTTGTTTGTGTCCATTGGTGTTAGTCACAATGGTTTATGTATTTGAATGTTTTGCAGTTTTGGAGGGTGAGCTCATCTTTGGCACTTTATCTGTGGGAATTGCACGTAGTCTTGCAAATGCTTCTGCCAAATACCCAGGAGTATTACTGACATGGAACGAATTTTCTCCACTTGGGGGCAAGGGGGAATTTCAAATCACACTTGTGTGTAAAATCAGCCCTCAAGCCCATGTGCAGTGCAGCCCTAAGGTATCAATGTCTCAACTTTTTAAAAAACATTGAACCACTGGGCTCTGGCGATCCTTCCACCTCAGCCTTCCAAATAACCGGAACTACAAGCGTGTGCTGCCATGCCTGGCTAATTATTTTATTATTATTATTATTTATTGTAGAGACAAGGTTTTCACCAAGTTGCCCGGGCTGGTCTCGAACCCGCAGGCTCAGGCAATTCACTCGCCTCCGCCTCCCAATGTGCTGGGATGACAGGCTGAGCCACCAACCCCAGACAACAATTTTTTTTTTTAAATCCTCAGCTCTTGCCAAGATAAATTTTTTTCCTGGTCTACTTTTTCACTGAAAATATTCCTGCAAACCTTCAGGGCTCCTGGCTTTATGCTCAGTTTAAATTTCAAATCTCTGGCCGCACGCAGGGCCAAGGCCTCCTTTTCTGACCCTGCATGAGTCTGAAAGCCCGTCCTCAGGATTGTTAGACATGAAAGCTCTCTCCTTCCAGCAGCCACAACATCAGTTCTCAGCTCACACGTCGGCTTTGAGCTCCCTCTTCATTTCTGGCACCTGGAGATCTCGCTCTTTTTTTTCTTTGTAAGCTCAGCAATGCATTTTGAATTCTTTAATACATTGTTCCAAAATTCACATGTCTTTGTAGCTTTTCCGACTCCTATGTAGCTCTGCCAAATGGGCAGAAATGGGAGAGAAACACCGGCCTCCGTTCTCCTGACCTGAACTTTCCCCGATGCCTGCAGCTGTACCTGTGTTCTCAGTTCCTGCGTCCCCTGGGAGCCAAGTCCAAGTCTACCCTCAGCCCCACTCTGGTCTGCCCCAAGCCACTGCACTGAAGGCAGCCAAGCCCAGCCACATCCCAAAGCCTAAGTCAAAACGGGCATGAAGCCCGGGCGGACAATAGGTGAGAGTGAGTTTCCTGGGGATGAGGAGCTTGGGAGTGTTTATGGTCTGAGATACAGGGCAATCTAAGTCAATTCTCAAACCAGACACACTTTATTCTGAAAACACATCACATGCGCTTTCCAACACAAATCCTGGCCCAGACCGGCCACAGCATACCACATCGCAAGGAGAGAGACGCCCCAGGGGGCTCAAGCTGCCTTCCCCTTCCATCTAACAGGCAGCCTGGGCATGGATTGTGAAGGACCCATTACCTGTGTCTCCATACTCTCCAAAGATGTTGATGAAGACATTTGCGTCTGTGCCTGCGCCCATGACGTCGCCGGTGTACACTTTGACCTCATACTTGTTACCTGGAACCAGGACAGAGAAAGCCTCAGCTCGTTCCTGAGGAGACAGGAAACGGGGCCCCGGGTCCCTACCCCACCCTCCCCGCTTCCCCCAGCCATGCAGGAAGCATCATCGTTGCCATCGATAACCAGCAAGAAACAAGCCACCCGACACTGGTTCCAAACGGTCATTGCTAGACTGCACGCCATGAAGACATCAAAGGGGGGGCCCTTCTGTGTCCATCTGCTGATGTGTGGCCTTGGGACACAGGAATCGGCCCAGACCCAAGGTGCCGCCCCAAGCAGACCCCCAGCGCGTCTCCTCAAACTCCTGAAATGCCCTCGAGGGGCCCCCCATGCCTCCCCCGCCTCTTCCAAGCCATTCTCCACAACGCACCACAGTGTGTACATCGCTGGGGAAAGTGGACTCCACAGATGAAAATCAAGTTGGTATGTACACGGTCAAGATCAGCGCAAGGACCAGAGGCGCTGATGGAGACCAGCAAATACAAGTTAGGGGTCCCCTCTTGTAGAGACCTGGATCTGCTCCCTGGATCTTCGCTCCATTCATCGGACAGAAACTCATTCCCTGTAACCCCCAAGTGCCGCCTCAGCCGTGGCCTCAAGGGGGGCGGAGCTTGGTGTGAACTTGACCGATGAGGAGCCCTGAGCCAGGCGGGGGGCGGGGGTCACCTCACCTCAGCTGGAGCCTGCCTGGGGGTGGGGAGCAAAGGTCAGGGGCTGGTGATGTGGTCGGGGAAGGGATCTCGACTTTTCTTTGGGGGCCAACAATTCTGAGGGCTGAGACAACTCTCCCTCCCTTTTGCCTTTCCCACGGTGGCCTTCAGTTTTTCACCTGGCAGGCTTTTTGTCATCAGGGGTCTTTCGCCCAGTGTGTGAAGCTGGCAAAAGCTAGAGTCCGAATCCAGGCCTGGCGTCCCCGCCCCTGCCCACCTCTTCCCTAAAGCCTCCCTGAGCCCTGTCCTCAGCCCCAGGGGTCTTTCTCGGCTGTCCTCCTCAGCTCTGCCCCGTCATCTGTGTCAATGGTGGTGGAGTTTTGCCGTCCGCTGCCTTGTGCTGTGTGCCATTTCCTGTCGATGGGGCTTCGAATTTCCTCCAGAACTTACAGGGGGGCTGGGCGGGACTCCTCGCCCTTCCCTGGCACAGTCCTGGGCACGAGTGTCACAGCCGTGATAAGCATGTTGGAGAGTGCACGGAACGGAATGCCCTGCGATCCCAAGTCCCAGGAATGCTGCTCCGGGCGGAGGGCCGAGGGTGGGGAGAAGAGGGGAAAACCCAGTTCCAGCCCTGCCCCAGCTCTCGGCCTGCCAGGGTACAAGGCCAGCCTTCTGGAGGTGACAAGGGCAGGGTCCCGCTGGGCACGCACGGAGGACAGCCACACGCGGCCCTGAAGTCTGGCGCTGACCTGGAGAGAGCACCGAGCGGGAAGTGGACAAGGTCTGCTCTTTCTCCCCTCAACCCTCTCCTGGTGAACCTCACAGCGGGGGAGACAGGAATCCACCCATCCATCCTGCCCCTGCCTGAGGGCTTGGGAGGAAAGTCCCTGTCAGGCCTGGAGTCCTACTGCTTCACCGTGAAGAGACATGAGCCAGACCCAGAGCCCTCCGAAGAGGCCAGAGCAGGGATCTCTGGGCTCACGGTTTGACACTTGGGCCACCCTCAGTCTCCCTGGCAGTACCCCCAGCAGTACCCCTGGCAGGTGTTAAAAAGGCAGGTCTCAAGCCACTTCCCCCCCCAAAGCTTCTGAGTCACGAGGCGTGTCAGGGCCAGGGAGGCCTTGGCCAGCCACGGTCACCTGCTTCAGCCCTGGCCTTCCGAGCTCCAGAGACCTCCGCCGGGACCCGAGTCTTTCCTCCCGGGCTAGCAGGGCCTCTGAGAGCATTCACCTCGGGTCGCAGCCTCTCCTGGCGCCAGACCAGGCTCACCTCACACCGCACGGAAGCGAGACCCCTCTTCAGGTTGGCAAGATGCCCCGGGCCCCTGTCTGCCATGCCAGGATGGGTGGGGTGGGCGGAGGCCCTGGGGCCAAGGCTGAACGCCACCTTGCGAGGGGGCCAGCAGGGCCCTTGGGTAGCTGGGCGCTATGAAGAAGGAAAGAGGATGGGGGACTGAGAAGGGTTTGTGGAAGGAGTAGCCAATATTCCGGATCATTCTAGAAGACAGAAGTAGGATTAGCAGATGGAATTACATGGCAGGTTTTAGCACATCAAAGGAAAGCTTTTCTAGCATCTAGGGTCATCCAGCAAAGGAATGGGGGAGGGAGCGCCCGCCCTAGAGACCTCAAGGAGGTCCCAGGGCCCAGAACACAGAGTCATCTTCCAGGGATGCCACCAAGGAAACACCATTGGCGAGAGAACAAGGGAACGCTGGGGTTTCTTTTCATATGTAGTTCCATGACACTGGACCAGGAAGGGCAGGGCCACAGACTGCGAGGGAAGCCAGGAGGCCAGGGGAGCGTTTTGGAAGGCAGGGAGACCCAGGTCCATGCATGTGAGGCCTGGGGGAAGCCAAGGAGGCATCTCAGAAGCCGGGGGAACCCAGGTCAGCACACGTGAGCCCTGTGAGGAGACCAGGGAGGTGTCTCAGAAGGCAGGGGGACCTGGGTCAGCATGTGTGAGGCCTGGGGGAGGCAAGGGAAGCATCTTGGAAGGCAGGGGAACCACGTCAGCATGCGTGACCCCTGGGAGGCGGCAGCCCACACGGGGCTTTGAGAACACATCTATGCCCTGGGAAAGTCTGGAGTCAGGAGCCCCGGCCGGGCATTCGGGGATGCCGGCCAAGGGCCAGGACCAAGAGGTTGGAGCTGGGTGGGAAGGAGCTTCCAGATGCTGGCTGAGGCAGACAGGGAAGCTGAGCCCAGAGGCTAGGAATCAGAGGCCAGCATGCAGGAAGAGGCCAATTCTGGAACAAGGAGGGAGCCTCTCCAGAACTTTTCAGGGCAGATGGGGCCTGAGTGCCCGTGCGGCTGGCTGGATGGGAAAGAGGGTCTCTGTGTGACAGGTACCACCCATCACCCCAAGGAGGGGACAAGGGCTGTGGTGGAGATGGACAGGGCACCGTGCACAGCTCTCAGGAGGCACGTGGGTTTGCTGTCTTCCTTTTCCCCCTCTTCACACTCTGTCTTCAAGCGAGCCTCATGCTACCTGATTCGCCATTTCCCAAAGCAATTGGTTGGAGCTGGGGACCATCGTACTAAGTGATCTATCACAGAAGCAAAGCCCTGAATGCCCCATGTTGTCACTCATATGTGGGCCCTGAACATCAGTCACACCAGCACAAAGGAAGGAGAGGCAGTCGCTGGGCACTGCCAGTTCCCACTAGCACACCGGCCGCCCCGACTGTGACTAAGCGTGTGTCCCCATGTGGGGACAAGGCAGAGGGCACTGCTCCTCGCTGTGGCAAGCCATTGGCGCCGGGCAGGTAGCCCTCCTCCCAGGTGGGCACACGAACCCCCCAGCTTCCCGGGCCAGGAGCTTCTGTGAGCATAAACATGCCGTTCTGGCCACAACGGGGGTTTGCACGTTGGACTTGCCCTCGGATCTGGAGGCCCACAACAGAGTAAAATGCCCACAAAGGAGATGGGGCCACGGCCCAGGCAGCAGGGACTGGCCAGAGGGACCCCTGGGAGCCCTGCCCAGGAGTTGGAAGGGAGCAGGGTGACGGGAGGAAGGTGGTGGGAAGAAGGCTAGAGAGAGGACTCCCCAGCCTCCCTAATTATCAGAGAAATGCAAATCAAAACTCCCATGAGATAGGTCTAACTCTGGTAAGGATAGCCATCGTTAACAAATCAAAAACAGCAGAGTTAGCATGGGTGTGGAGAAAAGGGAACGTGTCTACACTGCTGGTGGGAGTGCTGGCTAGTTTCACCTCAATGGAAAGCAGTGTGGCGATTCCTAATAGAACAAAAAATTGACTGCCCATGTGACCCAGCAGTTCCTCTCCTGGGAATATACCAATAGGAGCATAAATCATTCCACCAAAAAGACATCCGTACACGCATGTTTATAGCTGCACTGTTCACAGCAGCAAAAACATGGAACCAATCCCACTGTCCACCGAAAGTGGACTGGATAAAGAAAAGGTGGTGCATACACATGATGGAGTGTCACACAGCCATGAGGACGAACAGAACCATGGACTTTGCAGCAGATTGGAGGGAGCTGGAGGCCATCGTACTAAGTGACCCATCACAGAAACAAAGCACTGGATACCTCATGTTCTCACTCGTAAGTGGGCCCTGAGCACTAGTCACACCAGCACCAAGGCGGGAGAGAGAGAGAGAGACAGTCTCTGGGCATTGCCCGGGAGAGAAGGGGACACGCAACAGCACGAGGGGCGGGTCCTAAACCAGGGGAGGGGAGGGCCCATGGGAGGCCCAGACTTCACCTGCATCCTGCCTCCTTGGGCAGCTAATCCTGACTCGTACCCCACATCGCCATCATAAACCCAAGCAAAAGGCAGTTTCATCAAAGTTAAGAAGGAAAGAGGACTCCCGTGGGGGGATTCTGTCCATGAACACAGAGGCATCTCCCTCCAGGGCAGATGGCACAGAACACGCCTGCAGGCACCCGCAGCCACAGACTCCTCGCACACCCCGCTGTCATGGTGTCCATGACACGGCCCTGCGTTCCTGGCAAGGCAGGCACTGTTGACATTCTCATTTACAGACAAGGAAACTGAGGCACAGAGGGTGAAGGGGCTTTCCCAGGACACACAGTGGCAAATGTTGCAGGAGGGCCCCAAAGCCAGGTCTCCATGAATCCAGGGCTCTTCCTGGAGGCCCCGTGGCCTCCTGTGCTCCACGCCAGGGTAGGCAAACACTTCCTGTAAAGTGCCAGGTAGGACGATGGCAAGATCTACAGGCTATGCAGCCTGCCCTGCTACTCAGGCCGTGTGACCTGTCTACTGTTGTGGCATGTGGCATGACAGCAGCACTAGGCAATGCTGCCCGAACAAACGGGCGTGGCCACGTCCAGTGAGCCTTCATCCGCCAGCACTGGCAT